ATGGTTCCGTGTAAAAACAGAGATGACAGTATATTGCCTCTTGCAGGTATCCAGGTTTGGCCTCATGAAAATTCCAAAAATGGTTAAAGGCCGAGCTTGTTTATTTGTCCCGTACAGGGGGTACACATACCTCATTTGGAAAATACCAGATATTTACCCCCTTAGCCTCCATGGACTGTGCATTGTTTCTATTACTTATCCACGTACGGTCCCGTGTGAAAAACTTAAATTTCGACAGAAAAGGACTGTCAATTCGATTTTTTAATGTCTACAAGGCAGTCTGAAGGACAGCTAAGTCCCCTTCCGCAGTAAACATGAATATGTACTTCTTGTCCTTTTACCAAACATGACGTTGAAGTTGTGTCCTGCATATCATAAGCACATAGTCTCACGATGGTGATTATTTGTGCCAAAGTATTTAAAATCTTCCGTAAAGTTAAAAAGTTATGGACAACATATAACATTGACCCTGGGGCATTTAAAAGTTATGGAGGGGACATTAAATGTAGACTTTTGATAAATGTGACCTTTAAGTGTGACCTTGACCTTGGGGTAAAGCAACTGAATTAGTGCACTCTGCATATGTTCTTATGATGGTGATCAATTGTATTTAGTCATTTTTTTAAATTTCAGTGGTTAGAAAGTTATGGAGCAGACTTTTTAAAATTTGACCTTAAAGTGTTACCTTGACCTTTTGGATAGCAATTCAATCATTGCGCTCTGCACGTCGTCCCATTATGGTGATCACTTGTGCCAAAATATTTCAAAAAAAAAATTCAGCGGTTTAAAAGTTATGGAGAGGTCACAAAATGTAGACTTTTTTATTATGAAATGAAGACTTTTTAACGTTTGGCATTTAAGTGTGACCTTGACCTTGTGGGTAGCAACCCAATTCTTGCGCTCTGCACATCGTCCCATTTAGGTTATCACTTGTGCCAAGTTCTTTTAAAAACATTTCAGCGGTTTAAAAATTATGGAGCGGACACGAAATGTAGACTTTTTATTATGAAATGAAGGCTTTGTAACGTTTGACCTTTAGGTGTGACCTTGACCTTGGGGGTAGCAACCTAATTCTTGTGCTCTGCACATCGTCTCATTATGGTGATCACTTGTGCCAAGTTATTTCAAAAACTTTTCAGCGGTTTAAGTTATATACTGACAGACGGACAGACAGACGGACTGACAGACGGAGGCCATTCCTATAATCCCCTTTCCGCTAAGGGGATAAATAAATCATGCAAATATACCTAAAACATAAACATAAGCAGCAGGTGTCAATGTCTAACACTAAGCTGTTGATATAATATTGACACATTTCATAAAAGTGATGACAAAAAAATGGTCAGGAAAAAAATCATGCAATTTGCATTTATACAAAAGACACTGAACAGAAGAACTCATTTAAACAGGTGTGAAAGTGAAGGACAGTACGGGCGCCTTGGTGACAATTTAATATGTTCTATAAAAAAAAACTCATACGCAGGAGATAAAAAAGCGTAATTAGGAGTTTATAAGTTACATGGGACTTTCTCTTCCAAAACTGCAATGCCGATGATCTATTATCCATAATGAAGGATCTGTTGGTCATTTGAGGAAAAGTCAAGTTTCCTTGTAGGAGTTTACTACGGCCAGAACTTAGATATTTGACAGTTTTGCCTTTTGAACCTTTAAATCACGCCAAATACTTTTATAATTTGCATTGAAGAATAATGACCTCTTCTTATCCTTAAAGGTCCATAATGCCTTAGAAATGCTTTCATTTTTATCTCAAAATATTTTTATTGCTGGTATTCTTTTATATTTTCCAACAAGCAACAAGCTTCTTGCTGGCCAATTACCATAACTGTTTTAACCTTCTAATGCTTTTCGGCAATTAGTAAATTTCTAGTGATTAAGTATTTTGTATGGAAGTCAAAAAAAATCGTATGGAAGTCAAGACCGCCTCCGTGGTCGAGGGGTTAGAGTCGATGACTTCTAATCCAGTTACCTCTCTGGCGAGGGTTCGATCCGCGGGAGATGCTTTGGTAGTTTAACGCGGAGGAAGGTAGTCTAGTACTGGTGTAACTCGCCAGGACGATGGTTAGGAAACTACCCGCCTATATGACTGAAATACTGTTGGAAAAAGGCGTAAAATGAAACAAACAAACAAACAAAGTATGGAAGTCAAAATGCTACTTTGCTTACATTTTGCTACTTTATAACGTTAACTTTTACATTTAGTCCTATTTCCTTTAGGTAGCAAGCATTTAACATTCTCTAAAACCATTACTTAAATATTATAAAATGTTACAATGACATTTCTAAAGAAGTAAATATTTGTTCATTTCTGAGGCATAATCATGCCTTTAACAAGTTTCATTGAAGGTTCCATTCACCTTCTCGTACGTCAGAAGAAATCAAGGTCCTGCAATAGCTAATTAAGTACAGAAGTTAGACTCGAGTAACTTAATTTGTTGATAGAGAATATACTGAGGTGTATAATGCACATTATTTGATTTCTTTTTTCACTGTTGTTTCTATGGTAACATATTTTTTTTAATGAAAACTGAATAAATCTGGATCCTACGATAATTCACAGTGTAACTAACATATAGGTTGATATTAGTTATGTGGATAGATAAATATATGGAGATTATGAACGCAATTTAAATTTTCCGAACCTGAACATTTGTCAAAATATTCTGTGCACACTGTATTAACAAATGTGAAAACATTTATTGACTGGTACCCAAGCAATCCCATACTCCATGGATAAGCCGAGGTATCTACCAACCAAATATTCAAGACCTCGGCTGCCTGAACAAAACTGTTTTGGATTTTAAATATCAGTCTTGTAACCTTGACCCAAAATGACCACTTCTCTACCCAAAGTTATAGCAACAGCCAAGATAACTAGTAAATGAATAAGTCCCGTATAAGTTAATCTTTAGCACTGGTGACCTTTGTTCTAGCATCTAAAGTTGTATGATCAACACAAGTATCTACTGACATCAGTAAATTATAACAAGAGCCACCGCCGGGCGGAGGCAACGCTCGACTTTTTACTTTTTCTTAAAGCAAACAAAGGAATGTTTGAACAAATCTAAACGTTTCCTTTTCACAAATTTAATCGGTCTGTCTTGTTACTTTTGTCTATATAATTTGCATATATAGATATACTCATTGAAATATATATATATATACATACAATATATGATAAATGACATGATATATGATATATGACATGATATATGACATGATATATATAATATATGATATGATATATGTCATGATATCTGATATATGACATGATATAGAGTATGATATATGATACATGGCATGATATATGATATGATATATGACATGATATATGATATGACATGATATATTAAATGATATGATATATGACATGATATAAGATACATGGCATGATATATGATACATGTCATTATATGATTTGATATGTGGCATGATATATGACATGATATATCGTATGTGACATGATATCTGATATATGGTATGATGTATGGCATAATATATGATATATGACATGATATAGGATATGACATGATACAGATATATTATATGATATATCATATGTGGCATGATATCTGATATATGATATGATATATCATATGTGGCATGATATCTGATATGATATGACATGCTTTTTGGCATGATATATGATATGGCATGATATATGACATGTTATGATATATGATATGATATATATGACTTGATATATGATACATGACACATGAATATGTACACACACTAATAAATGTGTTTGGTCATTTAATGCACAAATCTGAGAAAATTCAGTAATTTAACCTTCAAGGACAATGTCATTAAAGAGCCCAAGTCAATTTGGGTTTGATAAACAACAAGGTCTTGCCCTTGAGAATGTTCTGTTATAATATGAAGTTGATCCCTTAAATAATAGCAAAGTTACAGCCAGTTACAGCCAAAACAATGAAAATTTCAATATTTGACCTTCAAAGACAAGGTCATTAATGAGTGAAGGTCAAGGTCTGTTTGATTATTTTTAAGGGTTATCCTTGAAGATTATCATGTTTAAGTTTGAAGACAATCCATTTAAAATAACAAAGTTACAGCCAATAATAGCCAAAAAAAATGAAAATTTCAATAATTTGACCTTCAAAGTCAAGGTCATTTATAAGTGAAGGTCAAGGTCTGTCTAGTTATTTTTAAGGGATATCCTTGAAGATTATTATGCTTAAGTTTGAAGAAGACAATCCATTCAAAAATAACAAAGTTACAGCAAATAATAGCAAGAACAAGCAAAATTTGGACTTTTGACCTTGAAAATCAAGGTCATTTATAGATAAAGGTCTAGGTTAGTGTGGTCTACTGAAAGGTCTTGTCCCAAGAATTGTTGTGGCCAAGTCAGAAGACAATACACCAAAAACTAAAAAAGTTATGATCCGGGTACAAAATTGCGGACGGCAACGGCATAGCCGCCGCGACTTTAACAATACCTTTACTTTTTTCAAAGAAAGTCTAGCTAAAAAAGAGCTGAATGAACAGCAGTGTAAAAATCTATCAAGCATCAATGACCTTGACCAAAGTGTTCAAAGTAAGCGTAAGTCTACAAAACATGAAAGAAATCGGTCAATAAATAAAGGCTATATAATTATCATGAATAAAAGTGTAATGGGCCGGTATTACAAAGGGAAATAATTCAAAAAGTAATGAAACGTTACAGTTCTTTGACACTGCTCTTTCTCTTACTGGCCTCTACAAATGTGTGATGTTTCAGCGAGATATCTTTACTTGGGACAAGTCTTATTTAACATTTTCAAGTTTCAATATAAATAAAAATTCCTCAAAATACTTTTTAAATTATTTTCAAGGCGAGAGTGACACACCGACAAAGTGTTGACCTGCATAAAAATTCTGCCAACTTAACATACTTGTTCGGCCAAGACACAGGGACAGATACGTTGTATTAGTATATTATAACTGAAAGCAATTACATATCGTCACATACATTTTAATGATACAAACTACATCATTCAAATATAAAACCATACGTTTAGCCATAAAAAATAAATTACTCATTTATTACAAATTTGTCAATTTTAAACATGGAAAAATGAAATGACCACCATTCACACCGTAATATTCTTCTCAGTCAATGAAAGTGCTTCCAACAACTTCAGATTCTGCAAATATTACGTATTTGTCCTGGACAGCTATGGAAATGTAGTTAGTAATGAGGGCAGCCATTGCTATCTTGGCCAAACCTATTTTTATATGAGAAATTCAAATGTAGAGATTTATGAAATTTGTAACAATATGACAGCATTTTCAAGTATTTTATATTGTCTTGGGTTTTAAGTCAAATTTTAAAATTACATATCTTTTTTAAATTTCTATAATAAAAAGAATAAGTTTGCTCATTTGCTATGGTATTCTTCTTACACAATACGCTTGTTGAAATATAATCAAAATCCTCAGCATGTAAATGGTGATATATAATTATAAATTAATGGCCTACACGGTTTGTGATAATGCAATTATATATGTCCTTTAAACACGAAGTTTCAGCCACTAGTATAAACTTAATGCTTCAGTACATGTAGATGTCATTTCTTTGCCATTGTTTGCCAGTAACTGTTTGAACTGTTCAGCATTCTATTCATAGATTAGGAAGTTAGAAGTTGTAGCTTCCATGTTTTCCGAATGAAGAAAATTTATCATCTCTAGTACCTGAAATACAGAAAAAATTAACATACACATTTTGTACTTTATTATTATGTACCACATGTACTAAAGTCTAGAATAATGTTTTGTCTTGTTATTTATCTGAATGATGAATACCTACAATTTTGGTGAAGTGTAAGTATGTTGACCTAGTATCAGTTTTAATTATTTGTCAAAAACAATATCACTAACTGATAAGTATATCTGTTTGACCGTCATATTGTTAAAAAGCATAAAGTATGAAAGTTAGAGTAAATATGTAAGATTGGTGAAATACACTAAGCCATCAACTAATAACCTTATGAACCTTTTTTTGCGTCACCGCGGACTATATATATATATGAAATGAAAACAAGTGTCGGAAAAAGTCACATATAAATAAAACAAAAAACACAGTCCATGAGAAAAAATAACAGATTTTAGTATATATATATATGTATACTAAAATCTGTTATTTTTTTATGCCTCCAAAAATGAAAATTTTGGTATTTGCAAATGGCGTTTGCAAATGAGGTACTGTAATTTACAGATGGCGAAGTGTTTGAAAATGGTGTTTTACAAATGGCGTAACTATCCAAACCTCTACTTTTGCAAATGGCGTCATGTAAAAATATGTACAAAAAACAAAAATACAGTATGTATGAAAAACAGTATGTATGAAAAACTAAAATAGAAAATGTTTGCAAAACTTAAATAAAATATGTATGCAAAACAAAAAAAAATATGTACGAAAAACTAAAATAAACTATATATGCAAAACTAAAGTAAAATATGTACGCAAAACTAAATAAAAATATGTATGCAAAACAAAACAAAAATATGTATTTTAATCTAAAATAAAATATGTATGCAAAACAAAACAAAAAAGTACAAAAAAAAAAACAACAAATAAGTACAAAAAAAACACAAACAAAAAATTTTGCAAATGTCACTTTTATGCCACGGTAGATTTCATTTTCGGAACATTTTATTCTGTTAACGTACACTATTTATGAATGTTAAATAACAGAGACATTCTATGTTTCAACTTTTTTGTGAATCAACAATAAAATAATGGAACCATTTTAATTTCACTGTTAATAAATTTTATAAAATATTTCATAAATATATAATTATACCCTTTAAATGGTCTTAGCAACTGAGTTCAAAAGTGCTATGCTCTAACAGGGCAAGAATTGTCAACTAGCAGTCATAATTAAAGTGGTTAGGTCATTATTTCTACTACATCTTTGCATAGTTTTTATGTCCTTTCTCTACAAGTAAACATCTTCATTAAGTTCTTCTTATAAGAATTTTTCAGAAAAAAATAATATCATGTAAAGATGAAAAAAAACTAAACTTTTTAGCAAGTGTTGCATGGCGAGAGTTTTAAATGTGTTTACTCCATTTTATTTGTCTGATTGGATTTTACGTTGCACCGACATGTTATTGGTGATGTGGCGACTTTCCAGTTTTACTAGTGCTGAAAGGCTTAAGGTGCCCTTCTGTGAATTAATTCAGACACAGACAGTCAACTGAGTCAAACCACCGATGTTCCGTAAGCTAGCTGGCAAATGTGACTCAGACCTTTGAACCAATAGGGGTTATCTATTGGCCAATACCAATGCACCTGTGAAGTTTGAAGGTAAAGGGCCCATGAGTTATGGAGATATGAATCAGAAACCGTTATTAATTATATGGTCAATGTGATCTTCACCTCTGACCCCTTGACCCACAAAATTCATGAGGTTATCTTCTGACCAAAAGCAAGATGGGTTGTCAAGTCATTCATTGGAAATCCTTTTCATCTACAATGTCAATATGACCTTGATTCTTGTATCAGGCAAGTCATCTACAGACCAAGACCATTGCACCTGTGTAGTTTGAAGATCAAAATCCTAGGAGTTGTTGAGTTATCAATTGGAAACCATTTTGGCATTCAAAGTCAATTTGACTTCTGACCTAAAAACCTCAAAAACATTAGGGGTCATCTTCTGGTTATGAACAACCTCATACAAAGTTTGAAGTTCCTATGCCTAAGCGTTCTTTAGTTACTGATCGCAAACCATTAGGTCTACGCACCAACAGACAGACAAATGCCAAGCAATATACCCCCACTATTTTGAAGGGGGTAGAGAGGCATAATAAGCATAACTTATTGCTTAATATTGATCTTACGAAATGAATTACTATCCACAGCAATCTTACAAACTTGACCTTGAAGGTATGGGTATGGGTCTTGGACGTGATGTCTTGATGTGGTAAAACATTTATGCTACATTATTTCAAAATCCACCAAGGCCTGACAATGTTGTAGTCAGAACACAAATGTGTACCTTCAACTTCTGTGTGACCTTGACCTTTTAGGATGTGGCATTGGCGTTAAACGTGACAAATTGTCATGATGTTGGTATTTATGCAGTTATTTTTTAAATTCTTTAATACATGACAAAGATACAGTCTGGACATGAATGTTGTGTAAGTGGTGTACCTTCAACATCTTAAGTCTGACCTTGACCTTTATGGTAGTGACATGATTGTGCCTTAAACGCGACACATCATCTTGGTGTGGTAGATATTTGTACTAAGTTATTTCAAAATCCATCAATACAAAAATATAGTCAGGACATGAATGTTGTGTATGTGGGGACACACAGACAGACATACGTAGCGTTTTCAATATGCCGCCCTTCCGGTGCATGAAAAGTTATTGGATACAAAGGATATTCATGAAAATATCACGAGGTTAGTATGTGAATGTTAATGAGTTAAATTCACGATTAATCAATAAACTATGACATTCATCAGCTCCTTTATATACGATGTATAATGTTTATTGTTCTCAGGCTAAACAATTACCACTATGAATATGTATGTAACTTGCCTCATGGTTCTGAAGTCAAGATTGGTAACTAGAGTAAAATCAAAAGCTTTTTTCTTATAAACTTTGAAACTGGTTCCTAAATTTTAGCCCCTATTGGTACAGGTTGCATAACTGTATGCCTCATGAGAAAGAGAACCCTGCAGGTCATTTGTTTTACTTTCTTATCAAGATTGGCAGTTTATGTGAAATCAGAACAGTCAGTTCTTTGAATACATACATACCCAAAAATTGCTTCATGAATGGCGAGTCTATATCTTTTTTATCATAACCATCAACATGTATCATAAAATTTGGTCCCAGATTATGGTACGGGAATTCCTTTTTTTTTTTTTTTATTCACAAATATTATACATAATTATACATAATTATACATATATACAATGACATAATTTAACAAATTCAATTTGAGATATACATATATATTAGAGTTACAACGTACATAAACACACAAAGTGAAAAAAGCTTGAAACTATCTAGAGGTTAGTATATATCTTTTAAAAATTGTAGTATTTTGTCAAAAAAATTAACTTTTGTCTTCTTGTATTTAAAGTATTGATAAATTATTTCAAATTCTGTTTTAAACAGTTTTAAAATGTTAAATTCATTTGACCAATTATTACTACAAAAGTAAGCTTTATAAATACTAAAACCTACAATAGTGAGTATAACATTTATGTAAAAGTATTCTTCTTGAGATATTTTATAACCGAAAATAAGGATGTCTAGTCTACGTATATTTCTTTGAATTCCGCACTCTTGAAATATATATAAAATTTTCTCCCAAAATACATTTACTGCCATACAATCGATAAAAAGATGTTGATAATCTTCTATTTTATTACATTTATTACAGAGTGGAGATGAGACCATTTTCCATTTATAGCGCGTTTCTTTGCTTGTAAAGATCATGTTTATTACTCTAAATTTGAATTGTTTATACCGATTATCAGGAATTCTTGTAATGAATTTATATATATCATTCCAGTTTAGTTTTATCTCATATTTATTTGACCAATACGAATGTGTAGCGGGTTTAATGAATACTTTATTTACTAATATTTGGTATATTGTTTTTGAATCCATCAATTCAAAAGGTCTGTTATTTATCTTAAGACGTTTTTCTGTTTTTATTTTTGTTTGCGAAGAGTGAAACGTTTTCATAGTTTGTTTCCAGGTTAGAGGTATAGCTTAAAAGAGCAAGTTTAATTCAACGACGCAGTTGCGTTTATCTACTAGCTTATTTAAGATAACATTTTGATCTACTTCACCCTGATCATTAAGTAAATCATTTATAAAATATATATTCGATTTAATCCATGTTTTAAAAAACAAACATTGGTTTTTAATTTTAATAAATCTAATAAAATTCAGTCACATTACTACAATTGAGACTTTTAATAGTGTCTGTATTACAACAAAATATTAAAAAATTGTCGCCAAAATCTTTCAGTAGGCGTTTCGGAATTAATTTCCAGTTTGCTTCTGATTCATCAGTTAAAGCTTTTACCCATTTAAGTTTTAAAGAAGTTATATATGAATCTAAGTCTAGCATATCTAATCCTCCTTGTAATTTATTGCCTATTAAAGTTGCACGTTTTACTTTTTCTTGTTTATTGTCCCATAAAAATTTGAATATCATTGTATTGATTTCTTTCACGATACTTTCTGGCACAACTAAAGAATGAAACAAATAAGTAAATTTTGGTATCAATAGCGATTTTATAATTTGAACTTTTCCATACATCGTTAACTTACGTTTTAACCAGTTTTTTATTAGACTTTGACATTCAGTTAGTTTTGACTGCCAATTGAGTTTAGAACACTCTTCGTATTGTATGCCAAAATAGACTCCTAGTGCTTTAATTGGTTTATTCGGCCATGTTATATTTCCTACTTTATCAGTTCGTGATTTACTTCTTCCTATCCACATTGCTTCAGTTTTTTTGCTATTAAGTTGTAACCCCGAGTATTTGCCAAAGCGCTCTACCAGATTTATTGCATTCAGAATGTCTTGTTCAGATTTCAGAAAAAGAGTAGTGTCATCAGCAAGCTGTGCTATTTTAATTTGTGTATTATTATTTTCGATTTTTATCCCTTCTATACTGTTTGAGTTTCTTATTTCAATGGCCATAATTTCAGCAGCTAATATAAATAAAAGAGCAGATAATGGACATCCCTGTTTAATACCTCGATTTAAGTTAAATATCTCTGATTTATGTCCATTGTTAAAAATACATGATTTAATATCATTATAAAATGTTTCGACCCAGTTTATAAAGTTCGATTTAAAACCAAATTGTTTAAGTACATTAATTAAAAAATTCCATTCTAGAGTATCAAAGGCCTTACGAAAATCTAGAAACATTATCGAACCATCTATTTGAAATTTTTCTGAATAATGTATTATGTCTTGTATTAAACGTATGTTATATCCGATAAATCTGTTTTTAATATAACCTTGTTGGTCTAAGCTAACTATTTTATGAATTACAGTTTGCAATCTATTGGCAAGAGCACGAGTTGCAATTTTTACATCAACACATAATAATGAGATTGGTCGATAGTTTTCTAATAATAATGGGTCCCCTTCTTCTTCTCATGTTAACACCATAAGGGTCCACTTCATGTAGCAAACGAAGAATTCTGTTTATTCTGTTGAATTCTGTTAACACATTTATTTTTGTAAATGAATATATTTTATAAAACTTCTTACTTCCAGACAAATTTTGTTGCATAAAGAACTTAGATTATAAATTTTAATGTTTAATTGATAATGATTAAGAGATATTTTATGACTTGATTGAACGTATTATGCAGTAATTTTGTAGCTTTCTTAATTTCTCACTTGTGAGTCATTGTATACTTTAATTATAGCAAAATTTATATTGATCAAGACTATATTTTCATTCAAAAACAGAAACATCTACATCTCTCTTATAACCATTATAAATGAATAACAGACCTTTGACGCATTATTCTGCATCCAAGTCGCTGACCACTTCCTTGTATTTCAAACTGAAATACCAAAAAACCGTCACATTTTCTGGTCTCAAATTTATTTCTTCAAATTTATGTAAACAAATTCAATATGTCTACATAGTTACCATAACAGAGATAAATGCTTAAATATACACTTTCATTTTTAAAATGTTGGTGATACCTTTATTTTCAGTTGATATTTGATAATATTAGTCAACTACAGTGGATCTTAAAGCCAAAATGCAAAGTTATAAAATCTGAAAGATTGTTTGAAAATACATTCTATGGATGCCAGCAATTTTTGTACCATTTCCTATAAAAAAATTACATACTTAAGTCATGCACATATAGACTTTTTTCATTGATATTCAAAATCTGAGAATACTTCGATTTCTTTATGATCAATGAATTTCATTAGTTTCTCAGGATGTATATATTTTGAAATTATACAATCAATATTGCATTAAAGTATTCTTTGATCAGACACATACATTTTAAAACTAATAAATTATTAAGCAGAAATATTCATCATGGTATCAGTTCAACAGTTTGACAGGCTAACATATAAACAAATTCGTCAATTTAGTATAAAGGGTAAAAAGCTATATCTATATCTTTTTTAGATTTAAAAACAGTAAAAGTTACATAGAATTCATAACCTTGTGGTAATTTCTCCAAAAAGCTGTAACAAAAAATGTCATTACTATTTATCACACATGGTTTTTGCATGTATATCTGATTTAAACTTCCGGACCAAAATATCCTACCACTAGTTTTAGTTGGTTTAAGAATCACTTGACACAGTCACACATATTCGACTCTCTTTTAACAAGATATAACAATACCACAATTCGTTAACTAAGTTAACGAATATAGGACATGTATATACGATGGACAAAATACTGTGAGCGTCTGCTGTTTCCTTATTTTATATAAACACATCACTGGTTGAAAAACTTTCTGTCATAGGATTGATTGTATGATGTCTCACTTTATATGAAAAATTTGAAAATAAAACTATATATTTACCTAACATGTATCCTCTTAGTAAGTTTCAGAGGTGTCTTAATTTCCGAATTTGTCAGACCGTCCATGAATAATTCTCTGACAAAAATGTCCAAAAAGTCTTCAGTCTCTGCCATTTTTTCAGATTTCCTTTTTGCAATCGGTGCGACGGGATCCATGCAAAAGTATGGCACCCCTAAAATATCCGATTTCTAGTCATTTCGGCACTAAGACATTTCAATCCCAATCAAATGAGCCCTTTACCACATCGGCCCACTTAAACTTATTATAATGTTTTCTACCATAACTCTACTCGTTAACTCTAAAAATAAGTGGATAGTCTCATAATACAATATGACAAATACATGATTATAACAAATAAATGGAAGATATATTTTGAATTTCT